TCCGGGCTACGCGCTGAGGGCGTCACGTGACAGCAGCCCGGCTCCGCTTCTGGCGGGCGATGCCAACGCGAGCTGCGGGGGGAACGGGGGCGGCGTGCAATCGCAGCACCCCAAAAGGGAAAGCCAGCACTGCGGGGAAGGCGTTGGGCTGCAGCCCCGTTTCTGCTTGCAGGGTCTGGCCCGCCCGCAGGCGGAACTGGTGCAGCGCCTTGCGCCGCTTCTGATCGGCTGGATGGAGTGGATCAATGTTCCTCAAACTTGGCCACTTTAAGACAGGCGGACTTCAACTCCCAGAATTCCCCAGCCAGCTTGCTTGCCGGGGAATTCTGGGAGTTGAAGTCCACCTGTCTTAAAGTCCACCTGTCTTAAAGTGGTCAACTTTGAGGAACACTGGAATAGACTTTGCAGGTGTTGAAGGAACAGCTGGCTTCCTCCCCTCTTAACGACAGAAACATGTAAAGGCTCCCTCCAGCCGGACTCCTGGTGACGTTGCTTGCTTGGGGATAGGATGGAGTTTCCCAGTCCTTCCTTCTGATTCCAGATCTTCCCTCTGGGGTTTTCTGGGTGGTCTCCCATCCAAGCTCATACATGGGCTACTTGTACAGGATCGGCCTTAGCTCTGGTCTCAACATGGAGCCTAAAGGAGGAGGCAGAGCCTTCATTGGCCTTTGGCTTCATCAGAACTTTTTGGCAGCCTTCCATTAGTGCTGTCATGAACTGGGACTCCTGAATAGAAACCCTGTCCCTCCAGCGAATTCTTTTTTATTTATTTCATTTATAGTTCCCATTTTTCCCTAACACGCTCCTGATGTTTGGCACAATTCTCCCATCTCCCTCTAATCCTGATTGTAATCTTAGGAGGTTAGTCGGGCCATTTCTTAGGTAAATGGAGAATTAAAGATTTCTACTGTCCCAATCTGAAACTCAATAACTGGGGGGGAGGGGTTGGTGCAATCTGTCTACACAGTGCTTTTCATGCTGGCTGGGGAATTCTGGGAAATGAAGTCCACACATCTTAAAGTTGCCAGGATTGAAAAACACTGGTCTAGCACTTCAGCTGTCACACTTCCTTTAGGCTCCCACCTGAAGCATACTTTGTAGGGGAATTCTCAAATTGCATGCTGCAAGAATGAATGTAAAAGCTTTCTCTAAATCTGCAACACAGAGGAAGCATGTTGCTGCTTCTCCCATAAATGTGTGTCTGTGCTGCTGTGCATGTTGGGGGAGGCCAGAGAAATGTACCCCCAGACCTTAATATAAATAATTTTCTTGCTTTATTTATGAACTTTATCCATCAATCCAACTGGATTCTAGGTACTTTTCAATGTATAGAATAATGAAATGATGATGATGATGATAATAATAATAATAATAACAATAATATACTATAAAATATAACCATGTATAATAAAACTAAAACTTACAGTGATGGCTCCCAAATTAGTCCCAAGTGACCTTCTTAGAACTTTCCAAGGGCCAAAAAAGTGGGGGTCCTCCTTGCCTCAGAAGGCAAGCTGTTCCAAAGGAGGGAAGACCTTACAGAGATAGCCTGCCTAAGCCCCCTCCTCCCCATCATACCTCCTACCAGGTAAGGAACCCTGAGTCGGTGTTCTGTGACTTATTTTTGCAGGCAGGGAAAGGCAGTCTTCTGGATCATTTTCTTTCCTCTCGGTGCAGCAAGGGGTTGAATGAACCAGTTAATACGTGATAGAAAATTAGGGGTGGATTTCTGGTTCTGCTTCTATGCAATTCAGTTCTGGGCTAAAACCTGAGTCGTTTTTTTCCAGGGAGACAGGCCAATTCAGCTAAAATACTGAGAACAGGCTTCTATAAGGACAGGTAATTCCTGTGCTTTTACTCCTATGCCTTTGAAGGAGTAACTGAGGTATGCTCAGCTCCATTTGAAAGGATGATGATGATGATACAATGCTTCTTTCGAGGGATGGAGTTCCAAGCAGCTGCTTCTCAAGACCCAGGCCAGCCACCGACATTCTTGTTGCTGCTGTTCTCAGATTTTAAATGGCCAGGATGGAGAGTGAAACCAAGAAACAGTCTTTTTCAAAAATTGCAGCAGGAATCCAGCACACAGCGCCTGAGCCTACCCTCCGTATCTCCAGTTGGCCCAAGGGGAGATGTAGGATGAAAGAGTTTTCTTGGTGGGATCCTCTTTCAGCTTCCCCTCCCATCACAATGCCATCTTTCCTCAGGCCTGGCTCCTTGGAGTCTAGCCCCCTGTGTTCCCGGTTCCAACATGATTCTTTTTGGTAACTGAGGCTGTGTTGATGCAGGTGACGAGTACAGCGAAGATGATGTCAGCGAGCTGATAAAGGAAGATGAAGTGGAGGAGGTGAAGAAGCAGTCACACTGGGAGAAATGCAAAAAGAACTCTAAAGGGATCACACCTCGGTGAGCAGTGGGTTTATTTTGCATAAGAGGAAGAAAGAAAAGAACGTGTTGCTTCGCTTCCTTTTCGAGATGATATCTGAAATTGCATTTTTTCAGCAGGGTGTTTTATTCTTAGAAAGTGATGAAAGCAGGAGAGCAGCTTTATTGAAAGAGATGAAGAGCTGTGTAAGAACTCACAAAACTCCCTCATCAGTCTTGGTTAAACTTTGGGTTAGGTTTAAGATAGGCCTCCTATCACCTTGCGATTAGTATTAACAAATTGCCTTGGCCCATATCTCAATACTTGTTTTCTTTTCTTGAGGAAATAATGCTAACAGTGCCTTACCTGTCACCCTTTCTGCTTCTCAGAAGTACTCACGAGTGTCTGCAGAATGTGGTCAAAGAAGTCAAGATGGCGCCCACAATAGGTAGGGCTTCAATCACACTGTTGCGGTGACCACCTTAATTTTTTTTGACCAGGCCCTGCAGACATTCCTGCATTCCCAAATAATCTTTGCAACCATTTTATGTTCTTGGACGATCATTCATTTGCTGATAATTGTAGGCTTTTTCCTACAGGAAAAAAAAGAAACGAGGTGGGCTTTTCTTAGAACTGGGTGAAGGAGAATCATCAAAAGACAAAAGTGACGATGAGGATGGCGAATCAGGAGAAAGTCATAATACGCATATAAAAGAAAACGAGAAAAGAAAAAAGGAGGACGCATTGTGGGCCAACTTCCTCAGTGACGTTGGCCAGAAACCCAAAGCAGTTCCTGCAGATCAGACACCCTGCATTCAGAAACACAAGGTAAGAGGAAAATTGTAATTCAGACATCGCTGTTTGAAACAAAAAGGGAAATTACCATTATGGTTCAAACATGTACCTCATTTCTTGATATGTGTTTGGATTTCAGCAAATCTCTAATCAAAGGCCTCTGAGATCAGTGGAATTATCACAGAGTATACTTCTGTCTGCATATGTTGACGGTACCCCTTAAATGCCCCACTTTGCCATTACAACCAGAAGGTTGGCTTTGGAAGGATGGACGTTAGCCCAAAATGGAGACTTCTGTTGACAATACAAGTGTTAACAATAAAAAGATTTAAGACCATATGAAATTATGTGAATGAATAACATGTAGTTAAGCTGAAATGAAACCTTCCATTGCCCTTGGAAAGATAACAGAAACTAATTGAAACCTGGAGCTCTGGCAAGTCATTAGTCAGCTCCTAAATGGTATTCTAAGCACTGTTGCGAAGAGAGTATTGCACTAATCAGGCTTGGCTTAAAAAGATATGCATTTGTATATTCTCACAATATGCTAAATTTAGTATTAACCATGTATTGTCTGGCCATGAACCGGAGTCACCTGATTGAGCACATTGAGGTAAACTCTCATTTGCTGGTTAGTACCCATTTGGCAGCCTTAGCAGTGGATGGCTTACAAAAGTTGCTTTTTTTTCTTCACTTTACATGAATTGATGGTTTTCTTAAAAATCAGGATCACACCCATCATGGATGTGGAAGAGGGGGAGACTGCTAAACCTTTCCTGCTGTCCTAACAGTCACTTTTTCATCCTTCAGATGGTGGTGTGGAGAGCAAAAGGGATGTTACGGGGCCACTTTAGCCTCCTGCTGTAATCTGTGATAACATTTGGCTAGAATTTGGAGTAATGGCTTCTTCTGTGACCTTAAAGAACCTGTTAAAATCCATGGAGATGGGCTAGGTCAAATAAGCTAGTACCAAAGAGAATTCAGGAAGGTCTTTTTAATCTTGGAAGCTGCAAGAAGAATTTCCAACCCTCATTTATAGCAAATTCATTAAGGCAGAGTCTCTTTAAATGCTCCAAAATTATTCTTCCTGGATTTATCCCTACCTGGACTCAGTTCCTGTTTATGAAATAACCTACTGATGGCTTGTCCTCTGTCTCTTGATTGTTTGTATTCCATTCCTTTTTCAGATTTCTCTCCTTAAAAAAACCTCTCATGTTAGGCCTTCTGATCACACAGCATTGAACTCAAAACCAAGTGTGCTACCTGAATGCAGCCTGGGTTTCAGATCTAAATGTAAGATAAAGTGGTAGTTGTATATGCTATTTATGTGCTTCAGACCTGGTCTTTAATGATGGTTCATACGGACAAGACTGAGAGCTTAAGAGACCAGGCTGTCTGTTGCCTTCCCTGGTCACAGAATGTATGAATCATTTACTCAAGGCGAGTGGAGGGTGACAGAATCCACCCAGAACCAGCTAAACATATGGCAGCTCTCATTATTTATAGGATTGGTCATGGTATGCCTTAGCCATAAATAACTGCCACCTACCTCAATTTTTCTGAATTTAAGTGGCTGTGAGAATGTTAGGCTTTTGTGTCATTGAGGTCTACGTAATAAAACTTCAGGAGGTTAGCAATCACATAAACAATGCCCCTTTCAATGCACTCCTGTTATAATGAAATGGCAAGGTGGGGTGAGAATGAGACATTGATCTGTAACAATCCCTCGATGCAGAGAACTTTTCTCTAAAAAATAAAAATTTCCAAGCTGCTGCATGTGTTTCTGTACACAGGCGGGATGGAGGTGACGCTGTAACAACTATGCATGACATTTGCTGTGTTTCATAATATGAGGCGTGGTTGAAAAGTTGAGTTGAATTTACAAGGAAGGACTTCAGGTAGTCTTCCATTAATGACAGCAGTTGGGACCAGAATTACCATCACTAGGCGATGCAGCTGTAAAACACAATGTCACATGACTGTGCCACTTAGTGATGGAAATTCTGGAACTCCCAGTTGCCCTCATTAAGTGAATCACCACAGGTCATTAATCTGAAAGCACATCCCCCCTCCCTGCCTTTACTTTCCAGAGAATTAGAGAGGGTCCCTTTGGAGATGCTTTCTCCGCCCACAGCCCTCCTTTGGACTCCAATTTCTCTTATCAGACCATTGTCTGGGCTGTGGCACTTCCTCTGGTCTCCCAAGGTTATTCTCACAGCCCATTACAATTATTGACAGAGAATTACGTTCCTGCATCCCACTAAACTATGATTTATTTTGATCAGGTTTTATTGAATAATTCACAGATGGGTTCGCCTATTGTGCTAAACCGACAACTGATCATAAAGTCCAGAGAAGCCAAAACTAAGCAAACCACATTATAGCTGAGTGTATGAACCATTAACATATCATGTGCATTAAAAGGACTCTAACAAATATGGGTTTTTTTCCCCCCCTTTCCTGTTTTGGTTAGTCAGCTGATGAGAAGAATGTGTGCAAGTCTCAAGGGGGACCAAAGGAAACTGAGAGTAACAAAATCACAGTCACCAAAGTATTTGACTTTGCCGGCGAAGAGGTGAGGTGAGTTTGGCCTGTTGGATCAGTCGCCTTTGCATTCAGCTGCTCCATTTAAACAGTGACTAACAAGTATGGGGACGAGGGCCATATTTTAAAATTATTTTTTGCTGCACAGTAGGGCCCTTAGAGCATTTAACAGGACTATAAAACAGCAAAGGTATATTAAAATACACACAAGATAGGCATGTAAGACCAGACAGTTTCCTCCAGGCTGGTGGGTGAGCAGTGCTGTTTTGGGCTGATGTCTCAAGTCTCACCAAGAGAAGGGGAGTGTCACCAGTTTCCTCAGTATGGAGCCACTGCTAGAGGAACTTTATCCCACCCCTCCCCAAAAGCTGCTTTCCAGATGGAACTTCAGATCCATTATTCTGTAGCCTGCATGGCCAGTAATGACCTACCGTAATTATTTACAGGGCAACACAGTCTGTTTTTCTAGCTCTGATCACAGCAAATTGCTGGATTTCAACCCAAGCAGGAGGAGGTCATTTCCCATGCCTCTCTTGAAATTTGCAGATTTGGGGTGGGGGGTGAGGAATGCCAGCTGCTTTCCCTGCCAGAGGCATTTTCCCCAGTAGAAAGCAAGCACTTGATTCTTCCTCAAGGGGGGCCCTGCGCATAGGTGGTTTATGAAGCTATGACCATGAACGTTTCTCTTCCTCGACACTTCACTGCTGAAGCATAGAGTTAGGGGAAAGCAAGAGGCAGGGGTCCCTAATATTAGAGATGTTGCTCTTGTGAGAAGCTCTAAACTGGTGTTTCTCAACCTTAGCAGCTTTAAGATTTGTGGGCTTCAACTCCCAGAATTCCCCAGTGAGCCAGGCTGGCTGGGGAATTCTGGGAGTTGACATCCACATGTTTTAAAGTTGCCAAGGTTGAGAAACACTGTTTTGAACAGTATAACTCACCAAGCCCTTTGCTCTGGGTGAAAAAAAGCTAGAGTTTTCCCCCTCTCAGGGCAAAACAGGTGATAGGCAGAACCCTTCTCTATCTCTGAGGGAGTCCTGAAGCTGGGCTGCCCACAAACCGCTGGGAAGAAGCAGCCCAGCTTCAGGACTCCCTCAGAGACAGAGATGGAGTGGGGTGGCAAAGAAGGACAGGCTTAGTGGTGAGGACCTACAGCGGGAACCCCAATCTTTGAAATCCCAGAGAAAAATTGGGGGATGATGCCAGGCCATCCATTGTCCTGAATCTGATGGCCTGGTGTCCAGGGCAAGGGCCATGTCCATTTCTTTGCACAGGCTTTAGTTCCAAGGCCAGGAAAGGAAATGTGTTTGGCTGCACTTGTTTTGGGGAGCTGTATTTCAGGGAAACCGCACCACCGTCTGGCCAATGTTCAGAGGAGCCTCAGTGAGCCAGTCCCAGCATGGAGGAGCTTGAAGGCCTGGGGCATGTTTATTTTACTGAAGAGAGGGTAGCTTGTTCTTCTTCTTTAGATGTTTGGGAAGGAAACCAGGCCAATGCAGGAAGTTAGGGCTTTGCATAACAGGAAGGCGGAATTGAGTTACGCGTTACGCAGAACTTCCTAAATCAAAGATCAGGACTGGGGTAAAGTCCTCTTCCTAGCGGGGTGCTGGGCTCCCTCCCTTGACAGCTCTCAAGGAAAAATTAAAGCAGGAATCCGCTGAGGATGCTGAAAACAGAGAGGTTAGGCAAATACATTACAAGGTCACGCAAAAGGTGCGATTAAAGCAACGTGTGGCAGATAAGTTTATTTAGACTGTATCTTTATCTTACATGTGGTTATTAAGCTTAAGAACTACTTTTAAAATGAATTCCTCATGATAGTGCTAGGTAGAGTTCCTGTGTTCAGAGGCCAGTATCTGGCTTGTAACTGGAGAAGGAGGATAGCTTCTTCCACCTCCCTCTGCTTTTGAAATTAACCACTGGGCTTTTTTGCTTGACCTTTTTACTGTTTGTTTTATGTTTCTGCAAATCCATCGCTTGGCAGTTATCCATTCCTTTGCAGAGAGGAAATGCTAATTTGCTTCTTCAAGCAAAACCGTTTGATAAGCACCAAAACTTGCTGTTGCTTTTCAGTTTCCTGGACAAAATATATTCATTCTGCCTTTTTGGAATTCAAGCCATGGGTACAGATTTGTTCAGTTAAAACTTTCTGCCAGCCACTTCTGGCAGCTATTCATCATTTTATAAATTGGGAAAACTTTATTGCCTAGAACAGCTTTATTTTTTTTGGCTGATTATTGTTGGTGGCTGTTGTGCATTTTAATCTGCTCAGTGAGCATTTGTTATTGGGCAGATTAAAATAAAACAAGTGTGTTCCACCATATTTGGGCTGCATAGAGTAGAACCATGTTGGATCAAACAAACATACTATTTAACCACCATTCTGTTTCCCCTGCAGCCATCTGGAAGCCCACCAGTAGGGTGTGTGTGCTTCATAAAACTTTCCTTTTCACGTTCTCCAGTCTCCGGATTCAGAGTCAGGCTGCTTCTGAGCTGAAGGTGACCTTAGCAGGCATTCAGAGCTAGGCTTTCTGTTTATTTCACACACACACACCCCATTTCTAAGTTATCCAGGTTGGCAGCCATTATGTTTTATGAATAGTAAATTCTAGCATGTACCTATGTTTTGTGTGATCTTTTTATTAAACTGTTCAGAATTTCCCATCATTCAGTTTAACTAGGTGTCCTTGGATTCTAGCAGTATGGAAAACAGAGATACCACCAGTGTATATTCTCTGCATCATGCAATGTAGAAATATCTCTACCATGTCTCCATTACTATTTAAACACCTGCAGTCCAAATACTTTTGACTTTCCTAATAGAGCAAAGATTCTCTCTGATTTTCTGTGTATACATTCTTTTCATTTGTAGCATACATTTGTCAGTTCATCACAAAGTAGCCTGTTTTGTTGAAGAGGGATTTTAGCTCTGTATACAGTATTTTCAGAGAGTGGCAGACATCAAGCTGGGACTGGAAAGCTACTTGAAGTTAAAAGTAGGCAGTGTGGATTTTTTTCCTCTTTTTTTTTTTTGGTGCCTTTGAGTCATTATTGACTTCTGGTGACTAGTCCCTGCAGTGTTCTTGGCAAGATTTTGGAAATGGTTTGCCCTTGCCTCCTTCCTAGGGCTGAGAAAGAGTGACTGGCCCAGGGTCACCCAGCTGGCTTCGTGCCTAAGGTAGGACTAGAACTCAGAGTCTCCCATTTCTAGCCTGCTGCCTTAACCACTACACAAACTGGCTCTCAGTGTGGAATTAGATGAGTGAAGAGTCTAAATCAGTACAAAGAAATGTAGTATATACCTTTCAGGAAAGGTATTTTAATTGCTTCCCCATATGAGAATTGTAGAAATACAAGAACCCTGCTCTATGAATGCGTGTATCTCATTGTACTTTCAAGAGTTGAGTTGAGCAGGCTTCTCCACCCACTGCCTTCCCAGTGCCTGCGCTGGACTTCAGCTCCTCTATGATTGAAGGAGGAGGACGGTGGCCATTCAGCATTTTATTAGTGTGGGTGAGGCTTTTTAGAGACACACAGGCAAGCAGAGAGCCCAGCCCCCCCTTCCAGAGACCCTACAGTAAGAACTCAAAGCGGGGACAGAGCAAGCGGGAAGGAAGGAAGCGCTTCTGGTTTAATGTGCCGTTTCTCTTCTGTCTTTCATACCTGTGGCAGGGTCACCAAGGAAGTAGATGCTGCTTCAAAGGAAGCCCAGCGCTTTCTGAAACAACAAGAGCCGAAGATTGCCACCCAAACGTGTCATCCAACTGTTTCAGGGTAAGATCCCGAGAAACTTGGTTCATCCAGTGCAGGTCGCGTGGAAGTCAGAACTCTGCTGGGAGGGAGGGGATCGCGATGGCATCTTTAGAACCAGTGTGAATTGGTTTATTTACTTAGAGCCTCCTGAACTGTACTAACAGGGAGATTCCTTCTTCCTCACCCCCCATAGAGGGGAAATGGATGAATGCACTGGAACAATCCCATGAGTTTTATATGGCAGGGGAGGGAGAACTCACACTGGTATCAAAGGGAACTGCCAGATTCAGCTACTCCCAATGAAAGGAATAAAGAAACTGGAGGCTGCGGTCTTCTGAATTTGCAGTCACTGTAATCCGTTGCAGTCTTCTGAATTTGCAAATAACTTAGGTAGTTAGCTGTTGTAACCTGAGGCTGGGTTCACACAGGGTGCTAAATACTAGTTAACGAAACATAATTGCTATGTTCGCAGGACATGCTGCATCTAAAAGCAAGCTGTAAGATCACAGCATGTTTTCCACAATAAGTCAGTGCCTGGGTTCCACAATTGGCCAAATCCTGTTTTGGAGTAGGCTTATCAGGTTGTGGGAACCCAGCCCAGATGTTTATGGAGAGTCTATGAGCGGAATAAATTCCTGTCCCAGTTCCAGCCGCCAGAGGGCGCAAGGCCTCGCCTGGCCCTTGAGCCATTAAGGCAGCTATTGTCCAGGTGATGTCATAGTACTCCAGATTTAATAGCCATTGGAAATCTCTTTTGTCAAGCTAGAGTGGACCTCTGCATCTCAGCATGTCCATCACGGGCACAACTGGAGCTGTTCTGCAGAGTAATGAAATTGATTAAACGAATAGCTGCTCTAGATGTTGGGCACGTTTGCTGATTATGCTAAGAGACGCAGCATCTGGTTTGTCTGGAACGCCGGTTGCGAGGGACTTTGCCGAGAGAAGTAAACAGGGCAGAGCGTTGGAGTCTAAAGCCAGAGTCCAAATACAAGATTTCTGAGGCAGAACTTGTACGGGGGTCTGTGCTGCCTGGTTCTTAGCTTACTTTGTTTCCGAGGAAGATATTTTGGAGCAGTTCGTTTTGGCTACACAGGCTGGTGGCCATCTGTGGAATTCATTTCCTGTGGTTTGGGAAACGATGGCTCCTGCTTTTGGTACAATCAGTGCTTTTGCTGGATTAGAGCCACTCCTGTCCACCTGGTCTGCCATGGATTTAGAGCGTTCGGCTTGGTGTTGCTGCTCCTTGATGCCTCGCCAAACCCGGACAAGGAGTAGCAATGAGCAGGGGAAGGCTGACTCGTCCAGGCAGTAGCAGCAGCAGAGGAGGAAGGACAAAGCATCGAGCATCTGTCCTTCATTAAATTGGTCTGGGCTTTGTGGAAACTGGGAGCACAGCTGCAAAGTACAGCTTTGCCATCACCAGCCAAAAGGGGAGCTTGAAGCCGCTCCGAAAAATGCGCCTGGGAACCAAATCCAGCTTCTGTAATTACAGGCATTTTTCTTTAAGGCACAAGGCTACGCTCTGAGGAGCACCTCTGGAGCAGAGATTCCGTAGGTTGTTTGGGCACCTCTGGCTTTGGGCAGCCCTCACAGGCAGTGCTGGGGCTTGGTTCAGTCATGAGTTGGTAGAAGCAATAACCCATGGTTTTGTACTGGAAGGGAAAATGGGTCCTTCTTCAACTAACAGATCTTTCAGAGAAAACCAGATGCTGAGTGCTAAATTCCTCACTTGGAGTGTGAAAGTCCAGGGAGCCGTTGCAGTCTGGGAGAGGTTGGTGATGAGATCCTGGGAAAGGTCACTGTGATGTCCTTCAACCTTGAGAACAGGCGTCTAGTGTGGTCATTGGGTTCCTCATCCAAATAAGTCACATTTCCCATTGCATAGACAGTAATGTTTTCCACCGATTAAAAGCCTCTATCTTCATTCTTGTTGCTAATAGACTGCAGAAGCTCCTTCATTCCTGGAGAAAGCTGTACGTGCTAGTCTCAGCTGATGCACAGCATTTTTTTATTACTCAATGCTGCAAGGCATTTCCCCTTGAGGGAGTGTGTCTTCTCAAGACACCACTCAGTGATAGGTTGGATCTCCTGTGTCCCAGGAGATGTTCTCAGCAGGAAGAAATCAGGAGTTCAACAGATTTCAATGATGCCAAGCAACCTTTTGATGGCATCTCGCTGCAGGCATAAGGGGGTGAAGGTGGGGCTGCAGTATGGCAACCAGCACTTGCTTGGGAGCTTCCTTTACACATTTACCCTTGTTGGAAGGGCCTGGAAGATACAAGAGAATGGATGGAGTGCCGTGGAGGGTTCAGCACTTATATTGGAAGCCGTCCTAGAAGATTCCTCAGCTGCCCATTGAAAAGTATGTCTCTTCATGGCTGGGCTCACGTATTGTGCTAAGCCACGGTTGACTTCTGAGTGGGCCATAGCAGCCTATCCCACATATCGCTGGGCCCAGGCCCTGCTTTACAAGTCACAGTGGCTGAGCTACCTGTTGTGTTAACCCAAAGTCACCTTGTGACTTAAGGTGAGGAGCAAGCCCGTTGCTTGCAACTGGACAACGGTTGTGTGAATTTGACACAGCAGTGGGTGTCTTTGCAGGTGTGCACAAAAATCTGTTCTACCACCTTCCCCTTTGAGGCAGAATTTAGGGGGCAGGGGGTGAGGAGAGGGGAATGACAGCCAAAAATAGAAGCTCTTCCACTTGCAGATTTGTTTTATAATCAGTTTTAAAATGGTGTTGCTTGATGTGCTGTGCTGGACTCGTCAAAGCACTTTGCGTACATTACGTAACAAGTTCCATATATCAAAGCAGACGGTTGATCCCTTGAGCTTGCTCTTCTTAATGTGGCTGGGGTCACACGTGCCATTAAACCATACTGTGGTTGGTTGTGTGGTATGAACTCAACCATTTGTGGCTTATGTGACAAGCCATGGTTAAAACAACTCAGCTTAACATGGTTTGCCAGCAGCATTTCTTCAGAAGTTCAGACCACAGTGGGCCTTTCTTATCCAGAGAAGTTGGGGAACTGGAGCATTTTGCGGGAGAAGCAGATGGTTTTCCAAGAAGTCTCCTTGAAATAACCCATAAATATTACCATATAGGGGAGCTGGACAAGCAGAGGTCGAAAAAGCGTGCTTTGTCCTAAATCGGCGAGTTCACTGCAATAGCAAAGTTTCAGTCTGCGGTTCCTGTATTTGCATGACTTGGATCTCTTTGTCACTGTGCTCAGTGGGGCAAGCCGAGGGCTGCTGAATTGTCACTTTTGTTCTGCTTTATTGCAAAGGTGAAGCCGCTGCTCCTTTTGAACTGACACAAGAGCATTTAAAAGATGCTGCTTAGGATGGGGCGATTCTTAATCTGCCAGCAGGAGGGAAGTCTGGTTGCTTCCCTGTGAAATTCAGGATATGTGTATAATACAGAAAGAGTAGGAGACTTCTGTGTTGCAGAATTCAGGACTGTAGCCCCGTTCACATTCACATTTTTTAGGAATAGGCCCTGCTGAACTCCACGGGATGACTTCTGAATAAAGACGCACCCCTTTGCCAGTGGCAGAGGGGAAGGAGAACACAGCGAAAAGACCTAACTGGGGGAAACCAAAACCACGGGGCGGGTAACAGGGCTTTCTTCTTAAGCAGAAGGACTTGGCAGGCAGACTGACAACAAGCATCTCTGAAATTCAGTATGATGCTTCTGCTCCTCCTCCTTGCAGGTTAGAATAGCCTTCCCTAACCTGCATCCTCCAGATGCAGAGGCAATAAAACCGCATCCGTAAATCATCATCATGATGAGATGTAGAGCCTAACTATTCAGTGGGACAGCAGGTTGGAGGAAGCTGGTTTTGAGGGGGGAAAGTATTATTTTGGCACCACTTCTCGGAGGAAGAGATGAAATAAACATTTGTCAACATTTAGCCTGTCTGCTCATCTGAACACAGACCTTATTGCTTTAAACTTTTCATCTGGTTCATGATCAGCAGTGGGATGCAGAAAGAGTTACTGACTTTGAACACTGAAAATAGGCTTGAAAGGGTTTCTGGTTTTTTTTCTTGAGTGATTCATTGTTTTCCAGCAAAATATCCTGAACTTTGGGGATATGCTTGTCATGGCTTTCCCTCTACCCCACCTGGTTAAGAATGCCAGTCATTTCCTTTCCAGATTTTCAGAATGGCCCAAGATTGATAGAAAGGAAGTTCCCTCAGGAATGCAAATAAACTACAGATGTGAGCCTCTGCTCATGGATGACACAAGTTTGCCTCTGCACTTCAGGGATTTTGTGATTGATCTGCAGCGGGCCCTGTATGGTTGTGTGGTGTTTTCTGTCTACCCTCAGTGCCACACCGTTGTCACTTGCGGGATGGAATTTCTCACTAGGGGATAGCTGAGCTTACGGCTCTCTCACAGTTACACTTCATTGCACCAATTGTGTCTGAAGAGTTGGTAACAGTGACATTTGGCAAGCAGTGGGGAGGCTCTTTTAGTGGAATGGCACACAGAAATTTTATTTTAGGTTTGTTTATCCCGAGTTTCAAATGCTTTGCGGTTTATATTAAGCCTGTCCAGTGGGGTTAGGAATCCACTTGTTGAATGCAATTTGATATGCAACTTGGGGCACTTAAAATTGTATTGCTGTTTCACAAGGAAGCCTGAAGGCAAAAAGAAGATATTTTGAATAGGCAGGTAGACTTTTACATTGAGGCTTTGGGTACATAGTTTTATCCCAGTGGGATGTGAGAAGCACTGATGCTCAATAGTTGAGGATTTGGATGATAAATCACCCTGTTGCTGGCACGATACTGTCCCTCTCTTTCTCTACCCCCTACTTGTAAAATGAAAGAAAAGGCAGCTTGACTTGTACAATGATCATGAATACACAGTAGGTTTCATTGGGGATTTGTAATTAATTGTGCCCCTCCAGTTCAGTGGGTGCTGGGCACTTAGGCAATAAAAGGACAGCCACAGAATTGCCATGTTCCTGGACTGCTTTTTCCAGCATGGAACTGGGTGACCGAATGGGAGGGACCCTCTGCCCCTGTTAATGGGGAGACCTTTTCTCTCAAGGGTGATACCCAGAATAGGGTTTGGAGGGCTACTTGTAGGTGGAGCTGAGAGAAGTGATTGGGGACCAGTCAGTATCCAAAGCGGGTGGGGATGTCCTCTCCCCATCCCAAGCAGGACCTTGTGGAGAAAAAGGGATATATCAAAAACAAAAGTTGCTTAGATAAGCTCTTTGTGAAGGAGTATTTGAAGAGTACTTCCAGTGAGTCTGTGTGTGCAATTCTTCCTCTGTTGAGGATGCTGTCATTTTCTGCTTGAATTTGTCGCAACCTTAGAAGAAAATACAGCATTCTGTTACTGGATTCAGCACAGGGAAGGCCATATTTTGAAGATTTGTTCTACTTCGGTCTGACATTAATAATGATATAATATTTAAATCAACCACATTTCTTGTGTTAGCCTTGTACTTTGTGGTGAGGATTATGAAATAGAATTAGGGTATTTTATATACAGTAGCGGTAAAATTGATGATGGGAACCACAGTCATACTTTAGAATCATGCAAAACTGGGTCTCATCTCTGTCTCTGCTAATCATCCAGAGATGTGAATGAACAAGGTTTCAAAACCAGGTGAAGGTTGCATCTGGCTTGCCTCTGACATAGGATGCTCTAGGCATTTTCAGTTAAAAGCTGAATCACTATCAGTTACCCTGAGCTAGTTAGAGCCGTGATGCAGGATTTACTCTAAAGACCTCCTTACTATTGAAGTTATGTCTAGGTATCCATGGGACCACTCTCAGCGAGAGAGATGGCTTACTGCTGACATGCACCCTTTTAAGTGATGAGATCTTAGAGAATGGCTGGCAGTGTTTTGCAGGGCCTCCAGCCTCCTTCCTTTATTCTATTGGACTTGTAATGTTAATAACTGTACTTACATTTCTTTGGAAAGTTTTGCATTCCTGACAATGCATTCTGTCACTGATCCTTACAGCAGCCCTTTCTAGCAGGTTAATGTAATACCTTTGTGTTAGGACACATGCAGAAGCCGGAGGGAGGAGATGGCCAATCAGGAAAGTCTCAGATTGCATTGGTGGTAGAGGAGACATTTCTACCATAGGCTATCCTGGTTTATTTGGGAGATTTTGGGGAGGCTAGGAAAGGAATGGACATAATCAAGAGATAAAAGGCAAATCTACTCCAGCTTATCTCACAAATGGCAGCTTAGCCCAGGTGGCAAGAAATCTGGGAAGAAGTTGTCCAAATCATTCATTGAGACTTCACTTTAATGAATTCACTGTGAGTGAGTGGAATGAGGGCTTCCAAGATACCATATTTACCCCAGATGAGCATTAAGATACCTTACTGAAATCTGTGGAGTTCCTGCTCTCTTGATCTCATCCAGCTTGGGGGAGGGGAGTTCACAACTCCTTCTGTACAAACTGGAGTTGTGATAAACACACTGGGATGAAGTTCCACAGAAGGGTCAGGGTCACATCTTCAGCAGTTGGGGGAGTGGGCCTGTGCATCACCTTGAACTTGCCTTATCTTCTGCTTTGCCTCGGGCAGAGTGAAGCGGCCCAGCAGCATGAACAGCCTTCTGGGAAAGATTGGTGCCAAAAAGCAGAAGATGAGTACGCTGGAGAAGTCCAAGCTTGACTGGGAGAACTTCAAAGAAGAAGAGGGCATCAGCGATGAGCTGGCCATCCACAACCGAGGGAGAGAGGGGTAAAAGAGTGTTTCATTCCCTGGGCATCTACCTGAGGAGTAACACTTGGTGTATCATTCTTTCCCCAATTTTTTTTTTAAATATTTGTGGGACTCCTCAAGAACCTTGGTGTTCCACACACTGTTCCCACCCATTTCTCTGGTTCCTGTGACCATGCTGCATGCATACCACTTGGGTTTCTCTTAGCAAGCAGAAGCAGAATTTGGGACTGGGTTCCCGATGATAAATTATGGTTTTGTTAACCATTTAGTTGAGTTGATGCAACATGTGGCTAAAACAAAAAACCCTACACAATAGTTTGGTCATTCTGGGTGAACCAGGCCTGGCCTTGCTCTGGCCTGATTTGGATGTGCAAGAAGGGCAAAAGAGGAACATAAATCCCATGCCTTATCATGGTGGTATGTATGGAAATGTCCTGGCCTTACATAGGACAAGCCTCCTTGGAACTCCTTCAGCTTCAAGGTGAGGGGAGCCTGACAAGACCACAACGCGGGCACAAAAATGCATTTTGCTTCCTTGACATTTGCTTTCACTGCCATTATTGAAAAACTTATTTGTAGCTGGCAATCACCTGGGCAGCCCAGGTTTATTTTCCAGAAGGTAGGAGCAGAAGGGAACATGCATCACTCAGTGCTTTCCAGCTTTATATAAAGACGGTGTTGCCAAGATGAATTCCTTCGGGGGTAGGTGAGGCTATTCTGGCCATGTGGAGGGAGCAGATGTCAAGCGTAGCTCTCCGGTGTGCCTAGGAATTCCTGGTGCAAGAAATTCGAGGAGGGAAGGGAAGCGAAGCCTGCAGTGGGGGGGTGCCCACTTTCTGGATATCCCCCCCCCAGCTCCAAGACCATCAGAAGTCAGCCCGGTTCTCTCCTTGCTCGTGTAGGCTCGGGAGCTGACTCTATCTCCTTCCTGCAGGTACCTGGAGAGGCGAGCGTTTCTGGAAAGAGTGGATTACCGGCAGTTTGAGCATGAGCGGGACCTCCGCCTGAGCAACATGAAACCCTGAACCATCGGCAGAGTCTGACTCTCCTAGTCCAGCCATCCCCAGAATGACCTCTTCGGGTCTTCTTTTCCACCGCAATAGTCGATAGGTGAACTGAGGTCCCGGGCAGCTCATTTGCCAGGCAAGGGGCAGCTCTGGGCAGCGGATAGTTAAGTGGGCGCATCCCGCTGCCTGTTCCTTTGGGTGGGGGAGGGGCTGCAGGGGCTGTTTCCCAGCATCCGCGTTTTTGGTAGTCTGGAGGAACACGGCAGGCTTGGGCTGCGGGATTGGCCCCCTTCCTGCTCACCCCCATCGCCTGGGCGCTGGTTCTGCATGACAGCAGCCCTGGGATCCCCACGTTGCTGGCGCGAACAGCTTCCTGCGCGAGGGCCCCCCGCAGTCCTGCACGGGACCAGTGTCAGACTGGCGAGTCAAGGAGCCCATCATCAGCCTACTTTCCTAAGAGACTTTCCCATTCAGGAGTCTCTAGCCTACTTTTTTTTCTAAAGCTTTTTCCCAGGATTTTTTTTTTAAATGAGTCCTCTGAGTATTCACGCTGTGCAGAAATGTTGGAAGAGCAGCGACATGCGTGCAAGGAAGCCAACATCTCCTTTCTTCCTTTGAATAAAATGTTAAATCTGTTCTGGCAAGCGTGTCCTTCTTCCCTTGTTGGCCAAGGACGTGAGGAAGGCCTTAGGCGACACAAGAGGAACCCCCTGTCCCCCAGAAAGAGCTTTGCAAGCTCACTCTCCCTGTCCTGATCTCATGTTCTAGGATGGTCAGCACTGAAAGCCCTCATACCAGCCCTTGTGTGCGGGTAGTTGAATCCATAGAGAGGTTTGAACAGAGCTCTTTCTTCACCTGCTCCTCTATGGAAATGCATTGGAGGCCACAGGGAGCGCCCTTAACCATCTTACTGGAAACTTGGGTCTTTGTTTTTGGTATCTAATTCTATCTGAACCCTATCATGTCTGTCCCAAACTGACTGTTGTACTGTATCCTAATCTGTCTGTCCCAGCCTCAGCCTGGCCCTGTCGATCTGCAAGTCAACATCCCTGCAGAGCGTAGGATCAAGAAGAGACCACCTGCAGGGCAGATGATGGTGGGAGATCTTCTTGTATCAACCTGGTGGGGGGGGGGGAAGAGTATCATTGTATGAGCCACCCATTTTAATAAAATAAATGACTTCAGTAAAATTACCATTTTTAAAACAAACTGATTCAGTGGTCTCTTAAATCTTGGAGGATCCTTTTCTTTGTAAGTCCAAATGAAGTCAGCATTTATTCACTGTTGGGAGGAATCACGAGGAGAAATTAAAAGGATTGTCCCATTTTCCAGGCACTAAGCAGCTCACTTTAGATAGAAAACAGTTCATCAACTGCCATAAGTTTTTTTAGTGTTATTTTCATCCTTGGATGTCCTTGTGCAAATGTTTACTTCCAGGTCCCCAAAGATTTGAATCAACCATGACTTGATAGATGATCTCCAGTCATTCCTCTGGCATTAGTAATGCAGCTCAGCTTTAGTATGATCAGTCACATGATAGCAGCAAATTAATATGAAGTAATAGAAAATGCTGAGAAAAAGGGCCACTTCAGAAATAATAAATTTGATATATTATTGCCTTGGAGGAGCTGAGAATTGAAGGCAGTTTTGGCAGGATTCCTTTTCGGTTTCTAATTGTGACACTGCTACAGGGTTTTAAAGGATGGCTTGCTCTATATCCTGAGAGCTGGTCTGAAAGGACCCCATAACCACGTTTTGTTCCTCATGAACTGCATTTATATACAGACGCTGGGAACTTTCTTCTCTGGAATTCAAGGCTGCCAAAATGTTGGTATCCCTTGCATCAAACCCAGTATGGTGCTGTCATGACTAAGACTGAAAGGGATGCTTCATAGGAGACATTGTCCTCTTCTTGGAAGGGGGTCCAAAGGAAGTAGGTCCACATTTGGGGAATTTTGCTCAGCTCAGCTTGCCTTTCTTATCCCTGAAAGTCCGTTGTGAATGCTTTCGTGCGCCTTCTGAGGAGGGCAATCTAGCTCCTGTTATGTATGTTCTGTTAAATCTCTAAAATTGCTTCCCATGATGGGATTGCAGGAGTTAGCCATCTTCAACGCAACCTGATGCAGAATCCACCCAATCATATACTAAAAACGAATGAAAGAGATCATATTGTTCCAAATACTTAGCTGCCTTACTTCCTGTTTCATGCTGATGCAAGTTCATGTTTATGAGGATCTTTAAAACCCTAACTTGGAGCTAGACCATCTACCTGATCCCTAGAGCCCTGTCCAACCATGCTGTTAAATTTGGAAGTTAGCTTTGCACCATGATTTGGCCTTCTGGATGGCCTACCACATCCCCACCAGGGCTGTCCATCTTTGCTCTAAATCAGGCCTGCTGTATTTGCTGGCACATCTTTAGTAAAAAAAAATTTCCGCTAGCTAAGCACAGCTGTTAAATTCTTTCTTGGGGCAACATCCTGTTGAGTTGCTTGAAAATCAAATGTGATGGGCAATCAAGTTCCATTAGAGTAGCATGCTAAGAGAAGCTGCTCCACGGAAGGACTTGCTAAACCACAATTTTCTAAAGGTTCTTCATGATTACCTGTTAATTCCCTTTTCTCTGCACATCCCTTTCTTTCCTTTGCCTGACTCTAGATGAGTATTTTTCTGACAGCAGTTTTATTTGACATTACATTTGTTTAATGTCCATTTTTAATGGTTTCTACTGTTGCTTCCTGAGTCTGTTTGTAGGAAATTATTGGAGGAAACTAACACAGATCCTTAGTGTTCTCCCACCCAGCCTAGAACACGCATGTGTGCAAGAGGGGCTCCTGTGTCACTCTGCATGCGGGCTTTTGCACTGCCTTCAAAAGTGGGGGGCCAGTCCTCTGTTATGATATCAGTGGAAGCCAATATGTCACATAAGAAGGCCATTGGGTAAGACCTTCTATAGAATCCATTCTATAGGTACATCCTAGCCCTAGAGAGCTATTAAAACCCACAGCAGAAAACGTTCCACAATTTACTAGCACCACATTATGTTTGGGAACTGGCTCATATCAGGCAAGATTTAAACCAGAATGAAGTCATTTTAATTCCTTCTCATCCAAGGTTTTCCAGGGCTTTGCTCTGCAGGCTTATTTTGGAACTATTGCCCCAAGACCAGCAAGTCACATTTAATTCTAGCATGCTATGGAAACATAACCAATGTGGTTAGTTTGTGGCTCAATGTGGGGTACAAGCTTAGAAAATTTGGTTGCTTGAGTAATCCATGGTTCAGATAACCATGGGTGAGTCACACCAATACAGCCACTCTCTCACAAATGTGATTGCACCAGTCGACCAAGCCACATGCCAATGTGTGAATGAGGATGGGAAAGACTGAGACATGGCTTCAGTCCATAATCTATGAGTTTTCCCCTGCAGAAGGGGAGGATCATGTTTCTGAAGGCTTCCTCTCCAGAACAAACGGAGCGTCTTGCACATAATAAAACCTGACAATCTAGCAAACTAGATGCTAGTCTATCCTTGGTGTTCCTGGATTGCAGAGAAAACATTTTTTATGAAGGGAAGGTTCATACTGGAATATACGATCTTGTTATTTCTCATCTGCTTGCTTCAGTCCAGAATTCTGTTTCAGACTAGAAACAGCAGCTCTCCTTCAGTGGAGGTAGATCCTTTCTTACCACATACATCTCGCCCTGGGTCAAATTCATGCTCCGTCTACATAGCAGAGAGGAGAGAGTTTAGCTGCATTCAGCTGTGCTTGGCTGATCCTGAAAAGCTAAGCAGGGGGGACTTGGTTAGTACTTGGATGGACTGGGCAGGTAAAGAGAGGAAAACTACACTCCTATCATCCACGTGAAGAAACTTGACTTTTTTGCATCACATCTCCTACAGAGTTCACACTTCGATCTTTAGTTACAAATTGGAGATAAACATTCAGAGAAGGATGGAGGCGGGCAACGTATTTTGGGATGGGATTAATTCCAGGCTGTAAAAATGCATCTCCAGTTTTAGATCACGCACATTTAAAAACTAAAAAATATTCACAATGGGGCGTACTCCGTTGAGTTCATCTGACCAACTAACTTGTCTTATGTTCTTAGAGTGTTTTCTTGGCACGTGGTACAATAGAAAGAAGAATGACCTTTCAGTTGCCTTTTTTGTTCAGGTTGGTGGGAAGGAATGGGCCTGGTTGTGCAGGCCAGGCAAGAATGAATCTTTGCAGCTTTCATGCTTGTTTAAGTCTTTCTCTTGCATTCTCAGCCTTGAGGATCACACAGGAGCTGACCAGCCAGGCCAATGAACCAATCCAGTTCCAAGCCCAGTTCATTCTGTTCAGTTATTGACTTTTCAAAGCTTGCGCCAGGGACAGAGGAATCTTGGAAACGGCTTGACATGCTGGCAATCTGAATGATGGGGCGTGATTGCTCTCCTGCAAGATGTTTTCCCAGGCAGACCACATCCCAAACGGCCATGTGCTTAGGGTGCGTTCCCCCAACGTGGCCCTCTCCAAGACTGACATGTCCATTTGTCTTAGCCACCAGAAGATCAGGGTGCCTAGGCATAAGGAAGGATACTGAGGGCACCCAGTCTGGGGGATACCAGGCTAATAAGGCTGCTGCAGATACAAGCCCTGTTGAGAAGGGCTTCGGGGGACAAGATATCAGTAAGCCAGGAATGAGATAATTGTTGGAACCCTCATCTCTGCAACGAGAGAAAAATAGAGAGATTAGAGCAGGGGTGGATTTTGCTGGCTGGGATTTTGGGAAGTGGCCAGGAATTGCATTGAGTTGGTTGGGCCACACTGCATGTGTGTGATTTGGGGGGTTCTGTACAAAAAATATCTTGGGATTTCTGTGCATGTGTGCGTGCGCATGTGCATGGGTACATGTGTGCTTTTAATGCGTGCAAGTCCATTAAAATGCTTACACAACAGTTGTATTATGTTTTCAATCCGAAAATGGAAGGAAGCCACACTGATGATGTTTGGCAATTGCCATCAGAATTTGGCAGAACAGCCTAAGAGCTTGCAAAAAAGCTTCAGCAGGCTTTGCAGTTCCCCAGAAGTGCAGGTTGTTCAGCTGTGATCCAGACCATAATAATAGAAGCAGGCTCTTTAACCCAAAGCCGGTACAAAAAAAAAAAAAAGATGCACAGCTAAAAGAAAACGAGTTAATTATTTAGTCACATCTGCGCTATTCCTTTCATCCGTCTATCCCAAAATGATCTGCAATAAAAATATCAAAGAACTACAAGAGAGAATAACACAACTACCAGGCAATTAAAGCAACATTTTAAAGCCAACACAACAGGAAAGTGGTTCCATTATATGTTCACGCTTGCAACACTTTTCAGTCCATTTCAATCCTCTTCATTACACTGTAGAAGAAAGGGAAGGAGGGGAAATTAACCTGATGCTTATGTGATAATAAAACAGTTTCCACTGAGCTGGGCGGGGGGTGGGTGGGTGGGTGGGAATTACATGGTTGAAATGCCACCAGTGAAAAGATCCCTACCTCCAATGGAGGTGACGCCCTGAGAAGGGCCTCAGCAGACAATTTCCAAGGAGATTCAGACTGATACAGGAGAAGATGGTCCTATGAGGTCCTGGGTCTCAGCCCAGAAGAGCTTTCAGTCAAGGATTCACAATTGGAGGCCACCAGTTGTGGTCTTCAGAAGCCTGGGGAGTGGGCTCCACAGCCCCTTCAAAATGGCTTCCAAATTGCAATATTTCATGCAACCAAGAAAAAAAATGAAATATCATACAAATGGTATTTAGTTAAAGTTCATTTTAAATATGCATTAAACTGAGTTTTCATAGAATCAGAGATTCTTAGGAGAGGAACAAGATGCCCAGGGCTAGGATCGTGTGAAGGCATCTCTGACAGATGGCCGCCCGGCCTCCACTTGAACGCAGTTAGGTTCCACACTTGGATTGCTCTCATGGTTAGGAAGTCAGTCGTAAGATTCAAGAAAGATCTGCCTTCCAGTATTTTAAGACCCGCATTTTTTGGCTTAGTCTCACATGTTGTGGAAGTGCTCTTTTTCTTCTGCTCAAGAGAAGCTTCAATTGGTCAGAAACTCCATGAATATGTTAGGGCAGTTTGTCCTCAACCCTTTGGAACTTAAAT